GTACAGATTTACTCTTTTCCCTGTAATTAGCTTGCTGTATATATACTCTTCAATCCAATGGAAAAGGCATTCCGCCGATTCCCACAACCTCGGCTTCTCTCTTTTGCACAAACCCTAGCTCTTTTCATTGCTAGGTCATAAACATTCTCAATTCCCCTCCAACACTGGTAGCTCAGATGATAGATAGATGGAACAACGTCTAATTGTGAATGGAGTGAGCGAACAGCTACTCCGCGGATGGCGACCAGCGACGAGAGGAGGTGGGTCGCCGTCGGCAGCGGGAAGTGGGTTGGTTCCTTAGTGGAGTGTCGACGACGCGATGGTCCGATGGGCGATGGAATGAAGACTTGAGGGAGAGGGAGGCGGCAGGCGGCTGATGCAAAATTGCAAATTGGAAAGCCACCGCAGCAACCCGACAGATAGCTCGCCTGGGCCGGCGAGGGGCGAGTGGGCCGAGAGGCCATGGGGTTGGCCTGTCCCTGGGCCGGGCTTATTTGAGCCTCTAAATCTGTTTTGTAATTATCCGGTCTTCCGATTTTTACACGGTTTTGACCCGGACCGGATTGGTCCGGGGTTTTTGCTAATTCTGAGATCAAAGACGGGATTGGGTTGTTTTAAATTCGGTCCCGATCTTAAAACGGTCCGGGTTTTACGAGTTGGTTTCCGGTTTTCCATCTGGTCCCGGTCCAAATTGCCAGCCCTAATTCTAACCGTCCAGTCAAATGAATCGAATTACTATTATAATTGGTTTAGTGATTCTACTAGCTGAATCTTTAATCAGTTCGGTTATTATAACAATTACAAATTAAACTCGTACTTTTCACATTATGGTACAAATTTAGTTCATACATATAATTTTTATATAAATAATTTTTTTCTACAAACTGAATTTGTAATTTTGATACAAATTTAATTTTTAATTTTGATACAAATTTAATTTGTATTTATAAATTTTTGGACAATTCTTATATAATATAAACGTAACAATAAAATTTCTCACAGTGTACAAATTTGATGGAGAGAGCATATATTGAAATATAAATTTGATAGAAGAGACTGTGCTTGGAGAGCCAGTTTGCGACTTCATTCTCTTCCCTGTACGTATGAACCAGTTGAACCACCCAGCCTTGAGCCAAGACACGACGTATCTGGCCAAAAATCGTTGAATAAGGATGTACCTTATCAGAGTGATGGTTGATCAAATCTAGCGGCAGCTTGGAATCAGATTCAAGGATAACAAACTGAGCTCCTTTCCGCCAAGCCAGTTGCAGTCCCTACAGAATCCCCCACAACTATGCCAGAAGCGCAGAACCGGTACCAAGTTTGCTGCAAAATCCCCCAATCCAGTCCCAGAACAATTACGAATAACTCCCCCTGCTGTGGCAATTCCTGGGTTACTCTAAGCTGCTCCATCGGTGTTAACTTTCTACCACCCTCATCTTGGGGCAACCCCGCTGATTAAGGCTTCCTCTCTTGCTGGTTTAGAGGAGAGGACATATCTTGCATCCACTGCCTCCCACGCTTTAACCTATTCATGTGCCTTTGACGTGACGTAGTTATTGGTGGCGAGAGCTTAATGCCATTGAAAACCTTGTCATTCTGAGTATTCCATATATGCCATAAGATTAAATTGAAGTAGGACACCCAGTCACCCCGCCAATTACCTTGGTTGTCATCCTGTAGGTTAGAAAATAGCCGGTCCACATAATCATCATTAAAGAAATCAGGATTGTTCATCTAGTTTCATGTCAAACCGTTGAGTCAATTCTAACCGTCCATTCAAATGAACCGAACTGCTATTGTAATTGGTTTAATGATTTCACCGGGCAATCGTTGATCTACTTTGGTTATCATAACAATTATATATATAAAGTAATTTCAAAGTTGGGAAAGAAAATTTTATTGGACTTATATGGAACAGCGAAAGCGACCAAATGAATTACTTTATAGCTTTATTTGATCAGAACAAAATGTAAAACTCAAATAAAAGAAAATCCTAGTGAGACAAAAAGCCAAAATCTCTAGTCAAAGTTATAGTTAAAATATAACATTACAATATATCTGTTTGGCATAATACGTTTAGGGTGCGTTTGGATAAGTGGATTTTAAATGTAAGGTATTTGAAATATTAGCATTTGAAATGGATGTATTCGAAATATTAGCATTTGAAATACATATAATTCAAATTCATTGTTTGGATACTCATTTGTAATTTGTTTGTATTTTGTATTTTATGATTTTCAATTTCAATTTTTAATTTTCTGGTCACTTACTACAAATTTTGGTAAATTACAGTTTGGTACACAAAATTATTTTTTCTTACAATTTAGTACCTAAACTTTTAAAATTTTACAAAAAGGTCCTGAAATTTTGATGGTAAAATTACATTTTGGTACCTTTATATGTTTTGCCTCACACTATAGTACCTAAACTTTTCATATTTTACAAATAGGTCAATTCTTTTGTTAGGAGGTATTTCAAATCACTAGTTGTTGAAATGTATTTGAAGTTGACAAAAAATACACTAGACATGTATTTGGAAATCACCCCATGAATTTGACACAAATCCAAATACCAAATGTAATTAATATCCAAACACATGATTTGGTATTTGGAAATCCAAATCACAAATACCAAATCCAAATCATTGTATCCAAACGCACCCTTACAAAAATCATGCATTCAAATCAAGCTTATGCCATGAATTTAGTTTATATATATATACACTTTTTTGTACAAATGTTTTTATAATATAAATTGATTTTTTGTATTTAATGTTATAAAAACAAATTTAGTTTGTATCTATATTTTTTTATGTAGTAAATTCACCTTGTAACACTAAAATTTCCCCTATTGTATAAATTTTATGTAGAGAGCCAATATATTTAAAATATAAAAGATGTGTATGGTAATAAATGTTGCCGAGTATGTGCATGGTATCGAAATTACAATAATACCCAAATATGCTTGCGCTATTTATACAATACTAGATAATTGGCCCGCGCTTTGCGACGGGTAAGCACGACCATCAATTAAATTATATTAGATCGAATGCGACTACATATGACCATTTGATTAGAGAGGATTAGACATTTTTATAAATTGAGTTGGTTCCAATTACTAAATTGAGATTTTATTTTAATTGTATCATGAATTCTCTTAAAAGCAAAGAAAAAAAGTTAATCATCTCAAACCGTATGATCATATCGTTACCATTATGTGGTTGGTTGAGGTAAGGATATAGATTTTTTTAAAAGGATTTAACTTCCATGTACTTCACTTGATACTAACTAAAAAAAGCTGTATATATGATCAGTGGTATATAAAAGCATTTGAAAGGGAAAAGATGCATATGAAGGCAGCAACACCTACTTAGTTGGCTACTTATCTAGAGTTCATAAACGAATTCAATTAATAAGATATGAAATCATAGAAGAGCAAAGTACTTCACGCTGTCAACCGTTTACGCTTCTAATCACCACCCACTACATCTTTCTTTAACCATCCCTGTGTTTCATATGATTCTTCTATGAAAATGGTGCAACACTGAATATACATTGAGGTGAGAGGTTACTTGAGGAGAAGTCAAAGAAGATGCGGACAGTGCGAGAGTTATCGGTCCAGTTCGATTCAATCGTCACTTGCCCCCAACCTGCTCCCTCGATGTTAGATCTTACCAGTAGGGGTGTTCAAATGGTTACCATGGTTATAACCAAACCAAATAAGGTTAAATTTCATTAACCATGGAATACAATATCATAACCAAACCGTCCAAATTAATACAACAACCAAATTAACCAAACTAAAGTTTAATCGGTTTGGTTAATTGGTTAACCAGATTAACCAATAGAAAATCACATTATCATTAAGTGAGAAAAATTTTCGGTTAATGCATCAATTTGCAATTTATATAATGAATAAAACATAACAATCAACACATAGTTATAGTTGAGTCTTAACATAATTACATGAAACTAAGACAATTATCTTACGATTAGCTCGACGTTTAATATTTGGGTTAATGAATGGTTGTGTTTGTGTGAATTGACTTGTCTCTTAGCAATGATCATAGGTTGGAAATGACCTTCCTTTCAAGTTTTCATCCATCATAATGTATGAGATTTATCTAAATTAGGCGTCCATATGTTGTGGTCTACACTTTACATATACAAATATTCACCATAGGTGCAATATTGAGCTTTATATTTTATGAGTTTAAAAAGGATGAACGTTTAACTCTTGAGTGGTTATGCAAAGTATTAAGTATGTGTATGCAATATATATTAGATATATGACTAATTACTTAACTGGTTAATTTGGTTTGACTGGTTAGGAGTGTCTGAAACCAAACCAAACCACCTAAACCAAACAAGCTAAAAACTTTAACCAAACCAAACCAATTATCCAAATTAACCAAACCAAATTATCCAAATAATACTGGTTAAAACGGTTACCACGGTAACCAAACCATTTGAACACCCCTACTTACCAGTAGGGATAGCTTTATATTCATAATCGGGAACCTTGACTCTCGGCACCCAGAAAAGCAAGCTTTGTTCGTAATCAAGATCATCTCCATTCTAGCTGCCATTGACAGGAAAGAATAGAGAAAGAAGGAAACTTGGCTAATCGCCAGGACAGGGGAAGAGCGTCGGGAAATTGGGAAGAGGTCGCAGGGAATAACAGAGGGGAAAACCGAAACGGAAAAGCGAACGAAAGAAAACGGGGACCAGACGGGAAAAGAGGTGTACAGACATACGAGACCTGACCGTATCCCACTGGACCCTTAATGCAAAACAGGCGCTATTTATATATTAATTAATATGAATTGACGTTTTAGCATGAGAAACACAACACAAGTAGCTCGTTAAGCTGCGAAGCATTGCATTTGTATAATCGAATTCCTTTCATCTATACACTATTCGATCCTCTCCTCTCCTCTCCTCATCATCACCCGTACCCGCTCGCTCGCTTACTGAATCACATAGCTAAGCTAGGTAATGGGTTCAGAAACCGCCGCCGCCGCCGCCCCACTAAAGATTCCGCTCATAGATTTCTCCGAAACTGCGCCGCTGAAACAGGACAGCCTTGAATGGGACTCCCTGAGATCCCAAGTTCGCGAAGCAGTCGAAGAATATGGATGCTTCGAGGCATCGTTCGACGGGATTCCAGCTGACAGCCTGAGCGCGGTGTTTAAGTCGGTGAAAGAGCTGTTCGACCTGCCTCTGGAGACCAAACTAAAGAACACCTCCAAGATACCGTTGCACGGTTATGTCGGACAGTGGCCTAGCCTTCCGCTCTACGAAAGCATGGGGATCGAAGATGCCGATGTTCTTCAAAAGGTTGAAGGCTCAACCAAGGCGCTTTGGTCCAATGGAAACCCAGCTTTCAGGTATCTGCGGTTGAGGAATTTTACAATGCTATATAGTATTGGTGCTATAGATTTTTGCTTTTTTGTACAAATTCTTTTATGATACAACTTGAACTTGTTTCTAATGGTACAACTTTAAAATTTAAAATTGTATCATCACATGAGGATACAAATTACTTTATAATTTCTACCATGGGAGTTTTGCAGCGAGAGCATCGTGTCCTACACAAAACAGCTTTCGGTACTTGATCAAATGGTAAGGAGAATGATCGTCGAGAGCTTTGGGCTCGAGAAGTACGTGGATGAACACCTCAACTCCACAACTTACCTGCTGAGGGTGATGGAATACAAAGCGGCTCGGAGCTGTGACGAAGTGCGAAGAATCCATCCCCACACTGACAAGGACATGATCACCATATTGTACCAAAATGGAGTGGACGGACTGGAAGTGAAAAACAAAGCTGATGGGCAGTGGATCAAGTGCCAATTCTCTCGAACCACATCATTCATCGTTCTAGTTGGTGATTCTCTTTATGTAAGTTCCTTGATTATATATTAATTAGCTGAGGTAAGATTTTGTAAACTACGACGATTCTGAGAGAGAGAGAGAGCGAGCGAGCTTTGTTGTGTTTATGCAGGCGTGGCTGAATGGACGAGTTCATTCTCCGGTTCATCGAGTCACGATGTCGAGGAGCGAGACGAGATACTCCCTGGGTTTGTTCGTGGTCCCAAAAGCTGGCTACGTAGTCAAAGCTCCCGATGAAATGGTTGACGAACAGCATCCGCTGCTGTTCAAGCCCTATGATTTTGTGGAGTTTTTCATGTTCTACGGCACCGAAGCTGGCCTGAAATCAGCAAATGCTTTGCGTGAATACTGTGGGGTTTGAAAGGTGCTGTAATAAGTTATGGGTTGTCCAATAAGTTATTTGGATCAATCTTTTGATCACTCTTGCAAGAAGAAAAGAATATTAAATAAAGGAGGCAAGGAATAATTCGCTACGTACATTTGGCTGCCTTTGGAAGCGAAGTCAAGCTTCTTCTTCATCTCGGCGTCAATTTTCTCTTTCTCGCAATGTACAGTCATGTAAGCCAACAGTCAAACCTTTCTAGTACTTGCTTGAAATTAAGTTAAGAAATTGGCCCTTGTCGAATAGGTATTAAAGAATTGTCTATAGCGTGGTAAGAACGCTTTCTTATTGCTGGTTGGTGGTTGGTCGGCTAGAAATCTCTTTCTTTTTCGTTTCCGCCTGAAAAGATTATATTTTTTACTCTATATCTTTTGTTTTCCTTTTTAAGAAATATCTATGACAAAAAAATAGTTATAGTATTTTCTCAAAAAATATATGAAAAAGATGCATGTCATCTTGTACATCTAGCTTTTTGGGGTAAAAAAAAATTATGATAAGATTTCATATTCTCTCATTATTGTCATTCATACCCACGCCATTTTATTATGCTAGACCCCATAATAACATCTCACTATCAGCATATATCATAATCTTACTTACCACTATGGTAATGGTAACACTATACATTAGTCATTACCATCAAATTAATGTCATATCATGAATTGACAGTGGTAAAATGAAGTAAGAAAAAATTTAATACAAAAATATCAAAGTTGATGTTGTCGCGTAGAGCACAAAACTACACACAAATTTGTAATCTAATATAAAACGAATGAAGATAGGATATTCAACAAGTGCATTAATTGTTGTCTAGAAATTCACACCAACCATAAAAAAGCAGGTATGTCATATGTGTTAGAGAATGGTATAAGATCCAGTATAACCTTCTCCCAACAACTCGAGTTATTGGGAGCAACTGGTTCTTGACATGGTATCAGAGCCTAGAACCGAAAGGTCACGTGTTCGAATCTCCACGACCCCCAATATTAACAGTTGTCTTTCAAGCACATGGTATGGTGGGCCTGTGCAAACTTCAAGCCCATGGGTTGGCTTTCGTTTGAGGGGGCGTGTTAGAGAATGGTATAAGATCCAGCATAACCTTCTCCCAACAACTCGAGTTATTGGGAGCAACTGGTTCTTGACAATATGTGGTACCCATAAAAATCCTGATTTTCATTGTTACCTCCTTTTCAAAATTAATGGTTAGAGATTGGATTATGAAGTACCAAAAACTTTGGATCTTGCATTAGAAATATCCTATGTTAAGTAATCTTAGGCTATGCATAACTTGGACGCTAAAATTTAGGGGTTCTAAGGATAAAATTAGGCGTTGGATCCTAGCAATAATGTGGTTGCAAGACACCCTCATGGAAACTTTGTTGGTCCATGGTGCAGAGTTGTGATCAACGTCTCGGGTTTATGAGAAGAACGAAGGTAGTTTTCTCGCACGTGAGACTCACCCGAAGAAGAGTGAAAATGAGAACATAACGGTTGAAGCATTAGGACTACCACGTGGTGGAGAACATGGCAGAGAGTAACGAAGCGGTTTCACATGAAAAATGCAATTGAGTTTCTAATAACTATATGTTATCTTTTATAGCGGGAGGGGGAACCAAACAAATCAAACAGAGACATATTTCTCAATTACTTTTTTCTCTATAACTTCTAGTTACGAAGCTCTCCTTCCCAGAAGAATTTCTCATAGTTTATAGTCGTAGTTGTAAAGGTATATAGGTCAACCACTTGACGGCGGTCATTAACAAAATGGTCGACCATTTACAGAAAGAGGTTGACCAGATAGAAGAGAAGTGTTGTATCCATTTATCCATCATCATTTGACGTAAAATGAAGATCAAGTGTTGGTCTCGTGGTCGACCTAATCCGGTACGAGGTCAACCGAATACAAGAAAATCAACCTATGCCTTGCGTCTTTTTTGCTTATGTATGTAGATGTGGGTGGTTCTCTTGCTTGTACAAATTACAATTCAAACCAACAGAATCAGTCATAAATAATGATAACAAGGACTCATAACTTTCATGTGGTCGACCTCTTGAATCACGTACAGCAGAGACCGCAAATGATCTTCTTCACAAAAGCTCTAACCGTAAAAAAAAAAAACCTAATTCAGAGTTTCGGTTGCGGTGAAGGTGACATATATTCGTATTTATGGATATTTAGGACGAGAATGGGTCGAATTAAGTAGTAGATAAGTTAGGATTACCTTATTGGTGTTGGAATCATTATCCAATATGGATACGGTGTGCACGCAGTCGACCTCGTACTTATGCGGTCAACCTCAGTAAATCAAAATGGTTGCCCTCTGAGGTATTTGGGTCGACCTTTCATTATGTTCGCTTCCCAAAGAGGTCGAACATTTTCTATAAAAGGTCAACCGCGTCGTTGAACCTCACAAAACTTAAACGACATATTAGGTCGACCTAAAAGTGCAGATTAGGTTGACCTAATCCTATATAAGATCAAGTTAAAAGTACAAGTTACGGTGACATGCATATCACCGTAGCAAAGTCCTAATTTTAAATTTTAGTGCATCATGAAATTGGGAATGTTCGGATTGCGTGTGTAATTATTTGGAGTTGTGTAAGAATTACAAACATAGTTATTATGGGTATTTCTGGAAAAAAAATCCCCTAAGCTAATCCTCGATCCATCCCACCATTTTCTTTGTGGTGTTGCCCATATATGTCCATAGAAGAGTGTCGGAGACCTAGGTACAAATCATCCCACTTGGAACAAATATAACACTCAAATAGTAATAAAAAAATTGATAGTCAAACAAAAAAGAAGTCATAATCAAAGTTCTGATAGTCAAACACTATGTCCTCCAATTTGGTTTACCCTGACGCAGAAAGCAAATATTATTAAAATGTAGAAAATGTGTTCGGTGAAAAAATTGACAGACACACAACAATGAAGTCATAATCAAAGGCTAAATTGCAAGTTTGGTCACTTGAATTACTAGTAAATTTCACGTTAGCCACTAGAATTACTTTATTCCATCCGTAGTCACTTTAATTAGGTTAACAGTTCAAGTTTGGTCACTGACCGTTAGTCTCCGTTAACTTTTGCTGATGTGGCGGTCAACTATTATAGTTGACCGTTAAATGAATGACGTGGCAATTAAAAAAATAAAAAAATAAAAAAATTTCTTATTTTCCAGCTAATTATTATAAATTAAAAAGAGAAAATCCTAATTTTTTAATTGTTATTTTCCACCGTAGTGAATCCTTCCTTCCATCGTCCTCATCGTCTCCGTCGCTAACTTCGCCGGCGTCGGAATTCTACTACCCACAGTCTTCCAAAACTCCGATTCCTCAGCCACCACCAACCTGCTTGGACCATCACATGCATCGAACCTAGATGAAACGACTGGTGCAGCAGCTGAAGATTCGCTCAGAGAAGATGGCTCTCGAGAGACCGTGTTCATCTGCATTGGGTTCATCGGATGATTTGCATATTCTTCCATTTCAAAATCCACAACTTCCTGAACTGTCTCCAAGAGCCCAGCAGACATGGGGTTCTTTGCTATTGCAGATGCAAGCTCTTGTAAGCTATCCATCCCACCCCCATTTCTTTGATTGAAGCTATTCGATCATCTTCATAACGTCTTGACCATGACCGTGATGATAGATCGACTTTGAGCTGTCTTCCACGGTTTCATGATTTCCAAGCTGCTTCTTGTGTGAGGGATGCAGTTTCATGTATAAGTTACTGGACTGGATGTTTTTGTCAACAACCCCCTTACTGGAAGTTAAAGAAAAAGAAGGCAGCGTGAGGGAAACTGAGTTTGGCACTAACCCTATATAATTGCAACGAGGCAACAAGGGAAGGCTGAAGTTTCTTACTTGTTTGATTGCCTATTTGAGCCATCGTATGCTGTTGGATGATTATGTTGTGTCAACAACACATCAGTACTTCTTTTTTGTTGCAGAGTTGCCTGCCCTTGTTGCTGATTTGACAAATTTGAGATTTCAGTGGACATCCTGCAATCATCATATAGAAGTTACCTCTTTCGATTATATCTCATCTAGCACCTCATTGCAATGCTTGGTCCACCAACGAAGCCGGCGATTACCTCGACTAGCCGCCGCCGCTCTTTGACTCCCCCGGTGGATTCCACCACATCTACGTCGGTGCCTCTCCTTACGATCTCGATGAGTCGGTGATCAAGACGATTCCAATCTTCCTCTAAAGCAGCAGCAGCCGTTTCCGAAAATTGCCCTCCGCTGCCGCCACCGCCGCCGCCTACAAAGACTGCGTCGTCTGCCTACTGGAATTCGAAGACGGAGATTACGTCCGCATGCTTCCCGTCTGCTCCCACGCCTTCCACGTCGATTGCATCGACATCTGGGTTAGGTCTCACGCCAACTGCTCACTCTGCCATGCCACGCCAGGATTTCTCTCCGACCTCCGGAATTCGGCCCGCTCATGGCGGCGCCAATTCGGCCCAGCCTCATCGACGGGCGCTCCAATGCGATATCTAGTCTTTCAAATAGAGAACTTTTGGAGTTTGATTTCCCCGTCCCCGGTGGGTAGTAGAATTGCTACGCCGACGAAGTTAGCGGCAGAGACGATAAGCACGATGACGGTGAAAAATAATAATTAAAGAAATTTGAATTTTTATTTTTTAATTTATAATAATTAGCTGGAAAATAAAAAATAATTTAATTTTATTTTGTATTATTTTTTTAACTGCCACGTCACTCATTTAACGGTCAACTATAATAGTTGACCGCCACATCAGCAAAAGTTAACGGAGACTAACGGTCAGTGACCAAACTTAAACTATAAACCTAATTTAAGTGACTACGGATGGAATAAAGTAATTCTAGTGGCTAACGTGAAATTTACTAGTAATTCAAGTGACCAAACTTGCAATTGAGCCCATAATCAAAGTTATGATAGTCAATGTCCTCCAATTTGGTTTACCCTGAGTCATGACGCAGAAAGCAAATCTTTAATTAATATAATTAAAGCTACAAATAGGTTAATGTTGCATAAGAGATGTGCTAATATGTGTTGAAGGTTATTTTCATTTGCTAACAGCCAGGTTCCCATTGACGCGTGGCTAAGAGTTTCTTTTGCTTTTATTTTGGCTAATTCACGTTTGCCCACGTTTCAGCAGGTGTGTTAATTTTGAACTAAATTACCCATCCCTTTTCTATGATTTACGAATAAGAATTTTGTCTAGCGGTAATACTATCACTATCTTTGAATATGCCGGTCCCAAGTTCGAATTCGTAAGTAGTACCTAATCAGAAAAAGTAAATTTATATCACGGATAGTTATCATAAATGGTCACAAACCTTTGCACTTAGTACAAAATTATCACAAACCTTTAATTTGTAAGAAAAGTATGAACTTGTACAAAATGGTTACTTATGTTAATCTCCATCCAATTTTCTGTTAGATTTGCCTTGTCAGCGTCCACGTCATTAATAAAATTCATAAAAAAACAACCAAAAAACAGAACCAAACCGGCACCCGTAACCAACCTGACCCCAACCTAAGACAAAACTCTTGTCCCTCATCTCGGATCTCTTGCCGCCGTCCACCATCTCGCGGTCGCAGCTCGACCTGGCCTTCTATCTTATCTTCACTGTCCGTCGCAAAACTTCTCAAAATCTCAGGCCGCCTTCCTCAATTAACCCCCATGAGGTATTCTTCGATTTAACTCTCTCGATCTCCCGACGATTCATGGTGGAGAACTGTCCTCGACGGAATCTCTATTCCTCTGTGGCCCTTTACCTTCATTCGCCTCTCTTTCATTTTTTTGGTAATGGCCATCTCATTAAATTAATTAAAACTTAAAACACAGAGGGGGAAAAACAAATAGGAACGAAGTGATTTCGTTCCAATTAGCACAGGCGAGATTATACCTAGCTAAGTTTGCCTGTCTTTCATTGAATCCAAATGGTGGGTGGCGATTTCGTTCCCACTGCTACCCGTAACCCCTCCTACAGGGTATTACTACGGCGGTGCATCCAGTTCCATCCCCTTCACCTGGGAATCCGCACCTGGAGCTACGAACCACAGTCTGTTTGCCACAGACTTCGTCACCGACTGCGCTGCCTTCCTTCTACTCGTCCTCCAATGTCTCCAACTGCCGCCGTTTCCGCTCCTCCGCCGCCATTAGATCGTCAAACTTCCTCTTCAGAGCCCTTATCCCCAAAACCAGTGCTGCTCGGGGGTTGAGGTCCTCTGGCGATGTGGAGATTGCGGCGAAGAGGGAGAGGAGACAGAGGAATGGTTTAGGTTGGGTTGGAATTAGGGTCTGGGTTTGGTTTGGTTTGATTTTATTTATTTTTTATTAATTCTTTTGATGACATGGATGCTGACGAGACGGTTGACTAGACTAAATTAACAGATTTTTTTGACGGAGATAGACGGAATGACCGTTTTGGTATATGATCAAAAGTGAGTTACCAAATCGTTACAAATTAAAGATTTATGACCGTTTTGTACTAAGTGTAAAGGTTTGTGACCGTTTATGTTAATTACCCTTTATATCACTTTTATCTTAAAAAATTATTCTCTTCTTCTTCTCCTCTTTTTCTTCCATCCCGAAACAGATTTGATAGAGAGGATGACGATGGCGATTGAAATGTTTTTTGGAAGAGTTATGGAGATTGGGAACCTGGGGGTCATCCGGGATTAGGAGACATTGACCAAAATTGTGATGGAGATGAGCCCCATCTTTAGATAGAAGAGTCTAGAGGGCAATCTATGGTCCACGGTTTGCAACAGTCATAAAATTTGAACCAGCAACTCAGATTGTTGCTTGTTGCCTGAGATTTTACGATGGATTTTTTATTGTCATTTCAGCAACCAAGGTGCTATGCGTCTTCTTCCCCGAGTCAGCCACTGCTTTTTCCCTCTTTCTTTTCTTTCTTAGCTGATTGATTGGGTTGATTTTTTCTTCCTTATCTCCTCTGATCGAACACCTAGCCGGATTCTTTTGTTTCAAAATGCCCAACCTAATTGTTTCTCCACACCCTCATAGGGAAGGAAGATCGATAATTTCTTGGAATCGAAAGAATCGGAGTGACAGAGATACAAAGCAAAGTTGGTGTTGACTGTACGGGTTTCGGCATTGGCAGAAGGGAAAGGGAGCAGGTGGACTTTGAAGATGTAACAGTGGCATTTAGTTTCTGGTATGATTCGGGACTTAGGTTGAAAGTGCACACGAGCATGAAGTCCTTTCGGATGTTGTTAATAACTTAAAATGCTTAATAATCTCAAGTTTAATGGTATTACATAGACATTTGATACCGATAAAAAAAAAATAGAAAGACATTTTATACATTATGCAAACTTCACAACTGTTGTAGATTTTTTTGCATATTATGCTTTGATGATTGTTGCCTCTCTGTTGGATGTGTTATTTGTATGACCAATAAAAGATTTTGTTCCCCTTTGTAACTGACATATGTTGTCTTAATTCTTTTTTCTTTTGGGATGAAACTAGGTTGCAACTTCATATCATTCTAAATAGTAGTCTGGAGAAAATCCAAGAGCCATATTAAAAGATAACAAAAATAAGCCCTTCAATTTCGTAATCTTCAAACTAAACTAATTGGCTTCATCATATACACATAGACGGGCTTAGAGATAACGAACCATAAGACAAGTCAAGAGCCGCCGCAAAGCGCGGCAACCACCTCCCTAGTATTATAAAAATGTAGAAAATGTGTGGGTTTTTTACAATTATATTGCATTTTTACAAAATTTACCTAAAGTACAGCGGTCTAAAAAATAATTCCAAAATTACGATACATATATGCTAATTGGGGCGTGCACGCCCCCAATTGAATTTGTTGAAAAGAGAAGGCTAATTGGGGCGAGGACAAGTCCAATTGGGGCGTCCGGGACCTAAATGCCGGTTATTGGCTTTAATTCCACAACTCGCACCTTTCCCTTTTCTTCTCCGGCGAGAAAGTCCCCAAAGATACGCAGGGCGCCAGCTGTGAAATATGTCCGGAGCACAAAAACAGAGACCCGAGAAAAGAGAAAACATATTAGTTGATTTGTGGATTAAATCGTTGAGCGAGTCTCCCCCAACCAACATTAAATTGGATACCGCTAAAAGAAAGTCATGGTCTATGAATCAAAATCCCATGTTCTATAAAACTGAAACAGATTAACGTTGAATTCATAAAGGGTTGAGTAATTATTATACATGTAGACGAGAGAAGCAGTTGGAGATGTGACAACCCAATTTCCTACTCCAATAATCACTGGAGGATGCAAAAGACAAGATGTATAGCTTTGTAAATTGGCAGTGTTTGAGTATCAAATTGCAGGGGCAACAGGAGCCAGCCCTCTGTCCGCCCGCAAGTTAATTCCTCCCAACTATAGGAATTTTGTTTCTTTTGGTCTCTCTGCAAGCAGGCTTCAGCTAGGTGGATTGTTAACAACTTGGTAAAAAAAAAATCATGGACAGAGATTTGAGGCGGCTTTCTCGCCGGAGAAGAAAAGAGCAAGGTGCAGCAATGGCGTTGTGGAATTAAAGTCAATAACCGGTATTTGGGGCGCGGACGCCCCAATTGGGGTTGTCCACGCCCCAATTAGCCTTTTCCTTTCAGCAAATTCAATTGGGGCATGCACGCCCCAATTAGCATATATGTACCATAATTTTGGAATTATTTTTCAGACTGCTTTATTTTAGGTAATATTTTATAAAAATGCGATACATTTGTAAAAAAGTGTGTTCGGTGATAGATAGCTCTACATGTGAGGTCGGGACTGGCTAGTTATGTTGTGAGACAGTGCATATCCTAAATATAATTAAAGTTATAAATGTGTTACTATTGTACAAGAGGTTTGCTAAAGTATGTTGTGGGTATTTTAGTTTGGATCACCGTCATTAACTTAAGGCTCCAATATACATAGGCTTTACACTTTCTAGGCTGATTTTAGTAATTGGGCCTTTGTGGAGGATTTCCTGAGAATCCAAGTCGTATGATAGATTCGGGCCGAGCTAGAATGGAGACTGTTCAACGCGACCGTCCGTCGTGAGAGCGGAGCATCATATCAGCGTGCCGGGATTGGAGTGAAAACTGGAGATGAAATGGATAAGGTCCATGGCGGAGTCGCGATTGATGAGTTAGATGGTGAAGGAGTTTGGAAGCTGACAGCGGGGGGATTGAAGAAGAGGTAAGGCGAACTCTAACCTCTTCTTCTTCGCCCCAAAAACTATCGCTGACTGCCCCTTGTAGTTAATCGCCCTATCTCCAATTAAAATCTCGGTGTTATTTTCTAATGAATTCAAAGATTTGAACACATCCTAACATCATTTGGGGAAATCCCCTAAGAAACAGCTCACGGGAGAAAGGATGAATCTAAAATCAAAGCTCTAATTCACATCCTTTCAATTTCTTTCCATCCCCAATCAATTTTTGGAAGATCTCACCGGCTGCCACCGAACAATGTCGGCGGATCTGGATTGTTGGCGGTGGACTTAATTAGAGGGGTTTTATGGTGATTCAGTGGTGGCTTCGTGCGTGTTATAGGAGCTTCGTGCATTCCAGTTTAAGATTTTTGTACATGAACATATCTGAAGCAGAGGACAACATGCATCAGGGGAATCAGATTGGAGAACTCTGA